TATAACATCAAAATCAACCATTTCCAGAAGCAACAAATCTACACGAGTCTCAAGACCCCCAATCACCACAATACAAGAACGATGGACTCGATCTACCACAATAGAATCACCCACCGGGGTAGACACATAAACAGGGGCACTCAAAGAATCACTAGGCATGACCAGACACGGCGCAAAATAAAACCCAAGCTCCTCTACCACAAACCAGAACAGTACCCGCACCTCCACCTCTAATACCTTTACCTCCACCTCTTGCATCTCTACCTCCACCTCTAATACCTCTACCTCCACCTCTAGGTAACTGAGCGGGCTGGACGAGTCCCTCAATGAACCTCCTTCCTCTCTCACAGTGGGAAGTATGATAAGAGCATGACGAGCCAAGTCGATGAATCTGATCTAGCACTGAGCAACAGTCATAGAACCCTGTTGGAGATGCTCAAACTGCCTCCGATAGACCTTTCTCTGAGTGATGGGGAGAAGCTTCTCCAGAAATAGCTGCGTGAACTGTTCTCAAGTCAAAGCTGGTGACCTCACTGGTCTAGCCAACCAATAATATCTCCAACAGGTCTTGGCGGATCCAGACAAGCGAAAAGTAGTAAAATCGACCCCATTGGTCTCCACGATCCCCATGCAACCTGAGAACCTCATGACAACTATCTAGATAATCTTGGGGATCCTCAAAAGATGCACCGCTGAAAGTAGTAGTGAAGAGCTTGGTGAAACTTATCCAACCTCCACAAGGCCTCCGAAGACGTAACTGATCTATCACCGGTCTGTGCTGCTGCTCGACTGAAGAAGCGGTACATGACCTCGCCATTCGCGAAAGGACAATAGTAGAGGTTTCAATTTAGCATTGCGAGAACAAAATCGCACGACAGAGAAGAATAGAAGCGAAACTTTTCCTAACTCTGCAGCCTCTGGGGGTTAAATACAGACGTCTCCGTACTGATCACTCAGACTCTACTAAGCTTGTCTGTGAACTGTGACACCTATGTAACCTAGAGCTCTGATACCAACTTGTCACGACCCGGATTTCCACCCTCGGGAATCGTGATGGCGCCTACTAGTACAAGCTAGGCAAGCCAATTTCACAATTTACCCTTTTTTTTCTCATTTTATATTCATTAGCAATTCTAATAATAATAACATTTAAACAGCGGAAAGCGGAAGAAGAAGCCATAAGCTAACTAAACATGAATATCTAATACAACTGTTTGAACCTCGACTACCCAGAACTGGTGTCACAGTATCACAGACGGTCTAAGAATACTACAAATGAAGGTCTGAAAGAAATAAATACAACACTGTCTCTGGAAATACATGAAAGAAACAGGAATAGTAGATGGGAGGAGACGCCAAGGCCTACGGACGCCTACAAGACTACCTCGGGTCGCCTGATGAACAAGAATCAGCAATCCCACTGCGGTCCAAAGTCTACAACACTTGGGTCTGCACAAAAGAGTGCAGAGTGTAGTATCAGCACAATCGACCCCATGTGCTGGTAAGTGTCTAGCCTAACCTCGGCGAAGTAGTAATGAGGCTAGGACCAGACTATCAAATAAACCTGTGCAGTTGTATAATATACAGCGGAAAGTAAAGCAGAAATAAATAAATAAAGATGGGAGGGGGAAACATGCTTCGGGAAATGACAAGTAAAAACAGAATATCAAGAGAATTATTAAGGAATCAAAAACCACCCTTTAACAAGAATAAGGAAAACAAAGGCAGATTTCACTTTCTTTTCACATCTTGTTGCAGGCGTGCAATCCGATCCCATTTCTCATATCTTGTGGTAGGCGTACCACCCGCTCCCATTTCATTATATCTCGTGGTAGGCGTACCACCCGCTCCCATTTTATTATATCTTGTGGTAGGCGTACCACCCGCTCCCATTTTATTAAATCTCGTGGTAGGCGTACCACCCGCTCCCATTTCATTATATCTTGTGGTAGGCGTACCACCCGCTCTCATTTACAAGCCAACACGAAATCACAAGGAATTCCGGCAAGGGAACAAAAACAACATAATAACTCCCCGATAAGGGAACAACAATATCAAGACAAACATCCCGACAAAGGAGAATCAGCTATAACCAATCCTAACTCAACTCCTACTCAGCTATACCCAAACTTGTTCCAACATCTAACTACCTCAGCTATAACCATAATCCTTACCTAACACAAAGAATCATCAACCTAAGTATCCGTAATATCAATTAAGAACACAATACAAGGGAACCACAACTCAACAATATCCTAGCAAGGGGGCAACATAATGATCTCTTCTCTTTCTCACTTTTACTTCACAATTCACTTCACAACTCGAGCCACCGCTCTAGAGATTCAATTATCATTTATACTATCACAATTCGTCATACAACTGGAGCCAACGCTCCTCAATGTTCATATGTCACAATTCTTTCCACAAACTTTATACAACAAATAGAAACCATCACCAAGGCATGAAAGACACCACGAAGTCATGATAATCACAATATAAAGACTCACGGGCATGCTAGACACCAACGTATAGATACTCGTTACCATGCCTATATGTCGTACTCAATAATTATCACATAGCAAATAGGACTCAACTCCTAATCCCTCAAGCAAAGGTTAGACCAAACACTTACCTCGATGCCTCGAACACAACTCAAGTTTCAATTATAGTTTTACCCCTTGATTCCACCGCCAATTCGCTCGTATCTAACCACAAGTTACTTAATTATATTAATAAACGCTAAATGAATCAATTTGAATGCATGAAAAATGAGTTTTCCAAAGTTTTACCCAAAAAGTCAAAATCGTCCCCGGGCCTACGTGGTCAAAAATCGAGGTTCGAACCAAAACCCGATTACCCATTCCCCCAGAACCCAAATATATAATTTGTTTTGAAATCGGACCTCAAATCGAGGTCCACACCCCCAATTTTTGGAAAACCTAGGTCCTACCCAAAACCCTCAATTTCCCCCATGAAAATTTTTGATTTTATGTTGAAATCATGTTAAAAGATGTTAATGATTGAAGAAAACTAGTTAGAAACGACTTACAATTGATTTGGAGAAGAAAGGTTGTTTTAAAAATCGCCTCTAATGTTTTTGGGGTTTTGAAAAATGAAAAATAACTGAAAATCCTATCTAAATAAACTGTCCTCAGATGCCCTGTGCGGACACAAAATCTACTGCGGCCGCACAGGCTTCCCTGGGTTTTGCAGTGACAGGTCTTAGTATTTGGGCCATAACTTTCTCTACATACGTCCAAATTGTGATGCCTTTACCTTTCTGGAAACTAGACACGAAGGGCTACAACTTTCGTTTTTGAATCATCTCAAAATTCCTTGTAGATCAAAAGATATAGGCTTCCGAAGTCGGACCAGTGGAATGCTCTTCACCGCGGACCGCACAAAAACTAGTGCGGCCGCACAGGCTCCTCCGCGGCAGCAGTCCATATCGCGCGGACCGCACTGGCCTGTTCAGAGGCCTTCCACTTCCCTGAGCCTGCAACAGCTCTGATTTTAAGCCTAAAACATCTCGGAACCTACCCGAAACTCACCCGAGTCCTCGGAACTTCAAACTAAGTGCACACAACACCTCAAAAACATCCTACGGACTTGTTCATGTAATCAAATCATCAAAATAACATCATGAACATCAAATTAAACCTCAAGATCAATGAAATTTTTTCTCAAAACTTCTTTAAACATCAATTTTGCAATTAAGGTCCGAATCACGTCAAACGGACTCCGTTTCTTACCAAACTTCACAGAGTTATCTTAAATCATATATAAGACCTGTACCAGGCGCCGGAACCAAAATACGGGCCCGATACCATCATGTTCTAAGCAAATTTCATTTCAAAATATTTTAAATAATTCCAGAAAATGATTTTCTTTAAAAATTCATTTCTCGGGCTTGGGACCTCGGAATTCGATTTCGGGCATACGCCCAAGTCCCATATTTTCCTACGGACCCTCCGGGACCGTCGAATCACGGGTCCGGATCCGTTTACCCAAAACGTTGACCGAAGTCAAATTAACTCATTTTATAACCAAATTTTTACCATTTTTCACAGATTATCTTATTTAAGCTTTCCGGCTACGCGCCCGGACTATGCACGCAAATCAAGGTGATATAAATGAGGTTTTCAAGGTCTCGGAAACACATAATTCAATTTAAGGCAAGTGATGACCTTTTGGGTCATCACACATATAAACTTGCTCAATTATATATAGACTTACAAAGCTCGAAGGGATTTGCCTATAATTAGTTGAATATCTTGAATATGCATGAAACTCAACTATCAAACTACACAAGTAAATATATCAATCAATCAATCAACTTTACCTAAATCCCTAAGCGGAGAGGTAATTGAATCAGTTATAATACCATTTTAAATAGTCTACACATTAGCAAGAGCAGAAGAGATTCCAGAAAAATTCAAGGCAGTGGTTCTCACTTCCGGACAGAGAGCTGCAGCAAAGGAGACAAAATCATAGGTGGTTCAACAGCTAAAGAGATGCTACCAAAGTGAAATAACCGAACCGAGCCAGAAACTCCATTCCTGTGTTACTCAGACTCTTCAAAAATGTTATTGGGTGCATGTCGGATCCTCCAAATTTAGTGCATTTTTGGAGGATCTGACACGGGTGCGGCAACACTTTTGGAGAGTCCGAACAACATGGCTCCATTCTACTTCAATAAACCTTAAACAATCAAAGCCTTCATCTTCCACACTAACTCCATGATGCAGCAAAAGAGACATGCAGTAACTTCTTTTTGGTAAAATAAAGCATTTTATAAATAGTTACAGCACTCAACAGGCTAAGCCTGTAGAGACTTTACAAATTCTATCAAGGTCTCTACTCTCTACTTCATAGAGATGTAATACAAAAGCTTCTAAATCGAGATTAAAAACCATGCACCAACTTCCTTTCCTCAGATTAATTCTTCATTGCGGGATTACTCTATTATAACCTCTACTTTATAGAGCAAAATTTAAAAAGAAAATAGAACTACAAGCGATTAATTTAATAAAGTTATAGCTTCTTTTAAGTATGTCACTCAAGCTATTAGCCTGAATTACTATATTGTACCTCTACTGTACAGTGCCAGGTTTATCTCAATTTATACCATTACTATAAGAGAACTACAAGCAACTACTGTTATTCACTAACATTTGAACTTCTAGGATCTATCTCAATTTATACCATTAATCATCTTAAGAATCAAGAAACTGCAATTCTCACTTTACTGTGTCTTCCTAGGCCTTCCTAGACCTCGACCATTTTGTTTCTTCTTTGACTTCTTAGATGCTCCCAACTTCTTCAAAATTGTAGTACCTGGTTTGGCCCCACCGTCATTGCCCTTGGGGATCCTCCCACGATGCTTTTGTATTTGTTGCTTGAAGTGCACCTCATGCTGAGAATCATTCGAACATAACACCTCCTCATTTGTTCTTTTATCAGGCAACGCCTCATTTGTTGCCAGCACCGAAACTGTACTAGTACCTAGTTTGGCCTCATCCTCCTTGTACTTAGGAGGCCTCCGACGAAGCTGACGTTTTGGTTGCTCCAAGAGCACCTCATGCTGAGGATCAGTCAAATTCAAGGCCTCCTCACTTGTTGCCAATGCCAAAGGTTCTTCAAATTGTACTAAATGTTTATCTGCTGAGGCACAGAATAGCAATGTTTCCACTTCAGAGGCACTTACTGATTTAGGTTCAGATCGGTCTCTGCTCCAGCGCTTCAGTTGTCTTTGTTCACGATCAGTTTGAGATGACATCTCAATCGACACTGCTTCAAATCCTGTAGAATCATCATCCTCGTTGAGCTTCTCCAGGGTAGATGTCCCTTCTTCCAGCTGCTGCTTCTTTTCAGATGATGGTTCAATCGTTGCAAGTACAATCTCGTGAGATTCTTCCATCTTTGACAGTTCTATCGTCGGCTGCGCCTCTCTTTTGTCCAAACTCCCCTGAGTATCTGGAATTATCATTTCATTTAGCAGAGCTCCTGTCTTCTTACTGAGGTCACAAGGCTTATCTACCTGCTGCTTAAGTTCAGGTGAATTCTCTTGCTCAAGATGTTTCAAGGCAAACAAATCTGTCGATGATGCGGGTTGAGTTATGATCGCTTTTAGCTGAGTTCTTGTCCTTTTTCTCTGAATGGGCAGCTGCTTGGGTTCTGATGAGCTCCTCTCTTGCTCTAGCTGTTTCGCGGCAAACAGTTGAGTTCTGGACCCTTCTTTTAGCTGACTTCTTGTCAGTCTTCTCGGAACGGACAGCTGCTGCTTGGGTTCTGACGGTGCTAACTGTACTTGCCTTGTGCCTCTGTCTGATATATGCTGCTCCCGCTGCTCACATTGCAAAGTCAAAACTAGTGGTGCATTCTGTGTTACTGTTCCTTTCCTTTGCGCCTTGTTGGTATTCTTCAATTGCTGCAAAGCATCGTGCTTCTTTTGCTGATTCTTAGCCTTCAACAAATCCTCAGCAACAAGCTCATCTTCTAGCCTTTCAGTTTGTTGATTCTGGTTTAAGGACAATACAGTTGCTGATGACATAGATCCATCATTGGTGTATTCATACTCCCTCTGCTGCTTTAGACTCTCTTTAGACTGTTTTGATGCATCAGACAAGTCATCAATTCTAGGTTCAACATAATCTTCCTTCGTGGAGTCCAAACCAACTGATGCAGAGTTATTTGCTGTGGCATCCTCCACCACCATAAACTCAAAACCTGGAGGTGCTTGAGGACTTAATATTTGAGGCAGGTTATCTTCAGGTTGTTCAGTTTCCAGTGGATATAAACTGCAAATGTCAGCTGTTTCCTCAACTCCGCTGAGACTAAGCTTCTGTTGCTGCAATTTCAAATCATCTAAATGCTCAAATCCTGCCTTACTACCTACATCACTCTCACTAGAAACGAAAGATTGCAGTGGTCCTTCAAACTGTTGCTTCCCTTTCTGTTTATGTAATCTGATCATTAGACCTCCTTTGGGAAGTGCTTTATTTCCAGCTACACCATTTTGCCTCGCACTTAATTGCCCTTCTTCTTTATCTGTGTTCGGTTCATTATGATGCCCATTCAACTCCCAGTGTATTCCATTTTGTTGCCCATGATTGACTACATTTTGTTGCTCATCCAACTTCTTCTCTTCTTTAACAACTTTTACATCATCATGCTTTTTCTCCTTCTTTTCCTTGCACCGCCGCTTCTTTGGTTTAATCTCCCAACCCCACCTTCCCTTCCTCTTCTTGTACTTCCTCTTGGTTTTTGTTTTTGGATTCAAGCTATTGTCACCACCACCAGCAAGCAAAAAGCGCCCTCCTCCATCAATCATAAGAATTTCACCATTTTCAGACAGCTTCTGTAGATGATGTTTCAGCAGGAACATATGAGCCACTGGCAAATTGTCATATTCTTTCTTGATAAACTTAGATATTGAGTCTTCAGTCGAACCTCCTTCTTCATCCAATTCCTGCAATGCCCTTTGAATCATCTATAACAAGAAGAAAACATTTGATTAGGCCAATAAGGAAAATCTTCAACTATGTGGAAACTGAGGATTCAAAACTATTCACTGTTACTCGTTAGAGATGAATGGGAAGAAGAGAAATTGCTTATCAACTCTCCGAGATCTGAACTTGGATTGCTACTTTGATTAATCAAACTCTTACTTAAGAAAAGAACTTTCCAAAGCAAATCTTTTTGGCTAGTGTCTTGAGGAAAATATTAACATTATAATAAAAAAAGAAATCTAACTTTTCCACAAGATACATATGAACCGAATAACATGAAGTGACCAGAATTGACAAGAATCTGACAAACACGCATTAACAAAAATGAGAATAACTATTTCCTTTTCATTCAAGAGAGTAATTATTATTACTCAATAAGTCTTGAGATAAGCCCCAACACACAATCATGGAAAAAGTTCTCTGATATCTGGACTCATACACATAGGCAGGCTATCTATCCTAGCATTCAAAATAAAAACTAAAAGCCAAGAATTCATTTTTCCCAGCAGACCCATATTGATAAAGCTCGTCCAACTATTCACCAAACTTAATAATACAGACACACAAAACTCCACCTATATATACATCTCATACAATGGAACCCCTACCCATCATTGAGTAAAACAAGACAATGTCGTACAAAAGAAATCAGAACTTGCTCTGGTGCTAAAAGCCCAGAACTTGGGCACTCCAAATTTACTACTCGTCCTTAAGTAACTACAGTTTCAATAGCTTAATAACTTGGGTCATCTAGCCCTAGGGCTTTGGTCTAGTGGTATGAGCGATCTTGTAATGTGTGGTTAGGCGCAGGTCACAAGTTCGATTCTAACCACAGACAAGAGTCTGATATTTAACGGGAGAAGGATCTAGGGGCGGCCCCATTCAGTGGCGGAGGCAGAAATTCACTCCTAGGATTTGAACATGTGACCTCAAGCAAATTTTTAACCCCGTTTATCACTACACTATAATCTTTTGATGTCAAGGGGATTCAATTGTTCATATATAACCAAGTATAATTTTTCACATTTACCCTATTTGTACAGTACAAGGGGATTCAATCAAATCCGTTGCCTCCTTTTAGCTCAACCCATGGCCCCAAACCCCATTAGCAAAGGGGTTGCAAAGCGTGCACCAAGAATTGTTCGGTCTTTAAAAAAATTAAGTCATCTAAGAGATAATCCCTCCTCCAATCGACCACTTCTTTTTCTTTTTGCTAGGGCGAGTTTGCGCCTACCTCGACTAATTCCACCGGATACTTGCTACCTCCCACCAACAACAGGTACCTAGTAACTCCATCCACCATCACTAAACATATGAGAAGAAATCACCAAGTATTTTGTCTCTGCTGGGATTTGAACCTGGGACCTATTCTCAATCCCAACACTAGGCCTCACCCTTGGGTGTGCTTTTTTTATATAAAATCATTGACACATTACCATTTTTCTTTTTTCTGTCTCTAATTCTATAAATAATTAAGTTCACAATTAATTTTATAAAAGATTAATTAACGGGTGCAGTAAAACTACTTTGTACCAACTGTCTAAAAATCATGAAATTATTACTTACCCAAGAATAAGGAGGATGATCAGGGGTAGTATGAAGAGAAGAAAGGAAATGGGAAAGGCGTTGTTGAAGAATGGAATTCTGGGTGGGTGATAATGGCCCATTTGGTTCACTGTTTGACAGTTTCAATATGGCTTCTCTCAATTTGTTCATGCCTACTGCTTTCTTCTCTTTCTGCTGCTGCTGCTGCACATTGTTGATACAAAAACTAGGGTTTTTGGAAGTTATTGACAGATCCATAACTTGTGTGATTCGGTTTGTTTGGAGTTCTAGAGAAGTTTTTGGAGGTTTTGTTTGGTCCGAAACAATAAGGTCTTAAAACTTTTAGAATTCCATTAAATTTAATTATAATACAACTACAACTAAAGAATATTTTAAAATATCAGTGTAATCTTTTTTCATCATATCAATGTAATTTTAGAGCCCGTTTGGACATAAATTTTTTTTTACTTTTTTATTATTTATTTTTCGAAATTAATATTTGGCCATAAATTTTTATTTTCACTTGAAGATAAATATTAAAAATTTTAAAAACTCTAAAATATTTTTTAAAAATTTTCACTCAGATCACTCATAAAAATTCAAAAACAACCCAAAATTCACTCACTAATTAATATTCAAGCCGAATAAATCGAAATTACCAAACCAAATAAACCAAAATCGGAAGGAGAAAAGCCTACTGAATGTAATTAAGTATGGTATTGATATAATATTTTAAGAAACTGAATATTGAAAATACCGAACCGAAATGATTAAATACCATACTATACGGACCGATCGACAAACACCCTAGTAATAAATAAGAGTAATGACATAGTTTTGAAATTCACAAAACGTTTTGGCACAATATTGATGTATCTTGAAAGTAATTAGGGTTATATTTTATCATGCATATATGGACCAAATTATATTTGAGCAGAGGTGCTTCATTATGTTCCTTGTCTTCTTTTTCCATAAAAAAATTGGACATACCCTTTTTGCAGACTTATTTTGTGACCCTCAACTTTAAGCCTCTTATTTCTTCCTCTCTCCGAATCCCAACTTCGCTTCCTCTTTTGCTTTCTCTTGTTTGCTCAATTATTTCTGTTTTTTTTTGGAGTATAATGACAAGAAACGAATTAAGTCCTCGACCCTCACCCCGATTTACCATGACATCATCACTGGGACGTAAGCGACAGAGGTGACCGAAACGTCCTGTCGGTACAGTTCTCTAGGCTTTTAATGCTTGCCAGTTGATGGTCGGCCACCAGCAATTTTGAACCGTCATCGTGAAGCCCATAAATAAGCCTCTTTTCCACTCCTTCAAACTTTACTTTCAATCTCTTCTGTTCCAATCTTCAAAGCTCTTCATCTGCAAATCTTCAAGTTTGATTGCTAATCTCTTTTCAAACACCAAACATCCTAATCCCCGTTCTTCTTTGTTCATAAAACAAAAATGGCCAAAACATCTAAAAACGTTCCACAGAAGGGAAAAGCTTCCTCGTCTAAGTCGGCCGGCGAACAACCAGTGGCAGAGCCACTCCCTGAAGAATTCTTTTCTCCGCCATGCGTCCTTGACTCCGACTTCAAAGTTGAAAAGACCTCCTCGGTTCCGGGCTGATGCGAGCCAATGTCGAGGTACATATGCACAATCACCGGTGGCCTTTTAAACCAAGTTAAGAAGAATTGCAACTGGGTAGACAAGCATGTGGTGGTGCCCTCGCCTGAAGAGTCAATCACTATGTGGAGGGGTTTCTGAGTGTTTACACCTACCCTTTCACATTGGGCCCCCTGGATCCGGTTATCGTCGACTTTTGCAAAGAGTACGAGGTCACCCTCGGCCAAATACACTCCTCATTCTAGAGGACAATACTGCTCCGTTTTTTTTGCGAGCCAAGTCGATGGGCTTCTCTTTACCCTCAATCATCATATGCGCTTATATAGCCCCCGACTTTATCGAGGGGGCTAATAAAGCTTCAACGTCGGGCTTCCAAGACGGCTTTCTCGAGCATAGATGAGGACAAGGACCGGGGCTGGATGGGCCGATTTGTCCGAGTGAAGACCTCGGATTTGATCCTGGCCGAAAGTATGCCATTTTCGGAGAAATGGAATATGAAGCGTAAGTTTGACTCCCTTTTTAGTTTTTGCTCATTTTTTCATCTTTTCTTATTGACACTTCGTATGATGCAGCCGTTGCCTGGACGCCGGGTGCGGTTCCCTATCTCGAGAACTGGGTCGGAAGCTTAGTGTCGAAATTGACACACGCTGAGCGCGCATGGCGAATTGTCGAGAGGTCGATGGGAGGCCCGAAACCATGGTAAGTTTTCGTATAATCCGATAACTCCGACCACTGTCCGAATTTCTTTTTGATCTCATTTACACTTATTTTGCAAGCCTTGGGAAGGACATGCTGATGAGGACAATTAGGTGATGAATAAAACCTTCCCCAATCGTCTGCTCCGAAACAGAAGAAAGAGCGAAAAAGGAGAGAGGCTTCGAGCTCCACGAAGTTGGACGAGCAAAAGCCCAAAAAGAGGCGGACTCGTAGGGGGAATGTCATCCATTTGACAATGGACTCAGTCCTCAGGCTATGAGATGAGCCCGAAGAGGGTGAACAGGAAGAAGAAAAGGAAGATGATTCAGGGCTGATAGCCCATATACGAGCTAGCAGCGGGGCTCGGAAAGCTTCGGAACCAGTGGAAATCGATGTTGACCGATCTACGCCCGATGAGGTCGAGGAGGATACTTCGGCCCAAATACCCGAGCCGAAAGGAATCGAAGGCATTTTGCCTTAGGTAAAAGAGGCCATTGAAGAGGCGATGGATGCTGGCGCAGAGAACGAGCTCGAGGCTCCCCAAGATGAAGGCAGTGCTTCAAAAGATCCAAGGGGGGTAATAGAGATTGGGTATTCCCGTTTGTTTCCTTCAATCTCCGATTCTTTGATACGCGATGCTCAAGTCGTGGAAACTTGTCATGGGGAAGGAGCTTACGGAGAGGAGGATCTCTTCCGTGGTTTATTTGCCGAGATAGAAGACGTCACCGGTTCGGGTGACCTGGAGGTTCCGAGAAAAAGCTCAGGTGAGGAATCCTCGAGTTCCAAACTGACCGATCAATTCCCGGCTCCCGGTGTTGATCCCGGGCGCAAGCGAACTATCATGATCACGGTCTCGAAAGATGATCGTGTTCTTGGTTCCCCCGTAGGGGTGGCCAGCTACCTCTAAGGTTTGGTTACAGAGGAGGATCGAGCCCAGATGGACGTGGTGGGAGCGCCTTGTCTTTTCAACGAAGCCCAACAAGCTTTAAACCGGGTAATCTCTGATTCTTCTATCCATTTTTGTACTTAGGTTTTTCTCCCTTAGTATAATTTTTCCCTTCTATGTTTACAGGCTTCGGTGCTTCATCATGAGGCTTTCCTCCGATCCGAGGGGAATTGAGCCGTTATGAGGCTGATATCCAGGGGCTCACCGAGGAGAAGAATGCCTTTAAACTTAAGTGAGCAAAAAGAAGAAGAAATCAGTAGCCTCTGAGCTGAACTGGCCGCGACTCAGAAAGAACAAAGTGAACTGACCGAGCAGGTAATAAAAGTCTTAAAAGCTCATGGCATCAGTTCGGGAGTGGTGGCTAACAATTCGATCTCACAGGTCGAGCAACTACACGAGACGATCGGGCAACTCCGTGGAGAGGTAGATATGGTGAAGGCAGAAAGCATAGCGTGGAAGCAAAATATGGACCGCCTTGCCTCAGAGAAAGAGACTGCTCGAGCTCAGTTATCCTTGGCTGAAAGCCAACTCCAAGGCATGAAAGAGAAGAACTTGGCACACACCAAGAAAATCGAGGAGCTCCAGGCTCTGTTGGTCACGGAACTTGTAGTGGCGAAATCTAAGGCTGAGACAGCTAAGGCCGATGTTGAGGCAATCATGGCCGTCTACCGGTTTGACGTCGAAGCCGCTCAAGCTCGTGCAAATGAAGTTGCTGATACTGCTCAGACTCGAGCATACTGGGTTGCCGAGCTTGGCAAGTGCCAGTCTCGACGGGAGACTCTCGAGGAGATTCACGCTCGTCGCTTTGATCTTGCTGCCGAGATCAAAGATGCAAAAGAGCTTGAAGTTGAAGGCAAAACATTGGTCTCTTCTTCTGATGATGATTCCGGGAGCATGAGTGGATCCGAGAGCGGAGAAGACCCCGAGGGTGAAAATGTTGCTCCTGGAGAAGATTAAGTACTTGGGAATTAGGATCTTTCTTGGATTTTTTGCATAGAATTTTGATCGGGTCATGTTGCCCTTGTAAATAACTTTGACATATATTTGCCTATGAAATTTGTGCTTTATTTATGTTCTATGAAGTTATTATTCGAGGTTCAGGTAATTTGGACCGAAACTGAACTAGTGTCGAGTGAGTGCTTGCTCAAACTCCAAGTAGGGTAACCCTTAGGTTTTAGTTGAGTGAGGATGATCCCTCGAACTCAAAACGAACGATGGCCTTTAGGCTTTCGTATTAGACCGATGTGGCCTTGGTAGAAAAATAGGCTTTTTCACCTTTTCGACTTAAAAAGTTCATTGTTAATTATACAAAATTTGTTATGCCATAACACGAAATAGGGAATTGTTCGAGAGTTCGAACAATATTGCATTCATTAGGGTTCTCGAGGCTTGATATCATCTAAACCCTTTATCATTTTGCCGAGGGTAGCCTTTTTAACTGGTTTATAACAATATTCGAAGGCCTATTTTAGTATGGAATTCGGACGTCTCCGAACCGTGTCAATTTGGCCGTAGCCTTTAGTTTGGGATTTGCCTCTTGGGCTCGTTTTCCCGTTATACTTCGAGCTTGTTCGAAGTGTCAGTCCCCGAGTGGGGTGGCCGTGGCCTATAAAAGTCGACGGTTGCCTTTTTAAGGTCTTATAATCTCGAGATTTTAATGAACTCGTCTATTTTTTGGATGGCAGTCCCCGAGTGGGGGGTAATTGTTCGAACTTCGATTACGATCGGCCCTTAAGCCTGTTTACACAATAGATCGAGTATGAAATTGTGAAATAGAAAATTTTTCTAAGGCATGAGATATTGGCAAGGAAAAATACTTCTTTCAATAGATGATTATACATGCGTATATGTTTGATGTTAGTGCTCGAGTAACCTATATGGGCACAGTTCATTTAACCGTTTGGCCCTTACAAAATTTACCTATCGAAACCCCGCTGTTACGAAGTAATTTCCTTGCAACAAAGTTGACATTCAAGGGTAATGCCCCCCAGTATTCGAGGTTGATTGTTAAGAAGCCTCGGATACTGTTGAATTGTTTTAACTTAGCAAGATCAATGGTTGCCTCGTTAAAA